AGAGTGGCTCACACAGAGCAGCAGTTTGTCTCCCAGGGTTCAAGTTTGCCAGAGTTCAAAGGAATTACCCCCACTACCACCAAGAAACAAAAACTAAAACAACCAAACCCTGACTGGAATAATTAAAAATTGTCCCTTCCAGCTCATATCACTGCATATCCTGTGGGCTGGGCCATTTCTACAAGCACAAAGACAGCAACTTAGATTGTTCACTTTGGCTTCATTCAGATTTAACTAAGCGACTGTCTGCACTGAGCCTTTAGAGACTCTTGTCTCTGAAAGAATAAATGCAATAAAAGTCTGTTTTCTGTAGCTGCAGGCACTTGGTGTCAAACTATGTTATGTTGCACCACACAGCAGTGACAATTTCATTTTAATACATGGGGTACATTTTAACAAGCCAAAGCAGTCCCTGCAAAGAATGCAATATATAAGCTGCCAAGTGAAAGAGACTCAGTGCACTTCATGCATTTTATGTGGGAAGAGAATAAAAGTGAAACCCACAGTGTTCTGGGATAAAAAGGCCATCATTCGAATAGCACTCTGAAAAAGAATGTGCACATTTTCTTCTCAAGTTTCACAATTAAGGGCTCTCAAATGCCATTGCTAGCTATCTGTAATCTGGCACACGCTTCACTTGAAACCGACACTGGCATTATCAACTCAGTTTGAAAAGGCAGCACAATAGACAAAGCTGTCTATACACGTTCCCTTCAGATGTGTTGCTGAGTAACAACTGTATCCACCCCTCCCCTACCTGAGTCCCCATGTGCTTTCTGCAACTTGTGCCTGTGGGGTAGATGGCATCTATCCCAGGGCCACCTCAGTATGAATCACAATTTACACTTGTCCACAATACCTGTTTTTAAGAAATAACCCTTTCAAACTGTGTTCTTCAGGGTGATTAGCTCACTGACTGACTGGGAAGAATGTGGGGTATAGAACAACCAGACATATTACTAAAATTGCCTGATACTTGCCATCACAAGACCCTGGTTTTAGTTTAGTTAAAATTCTGATCAACATCAGCCACTTAGGTAACAGAGTCTGTGGCAGGTGCCTATCCATGAGCTGAACCTGTGTGTATACATCAATTCAGACACTCCTCTTTCTTGTCTCACTTGTTTTCAATATAAAGATTAGCTATATGTGGGAAGAGGCACAATAAAAATATACTTTTCTTAGTTCCACACTAATAAATTCTACCTCGTTTTTCTTTGAAAAGCTGTGGCACTCCCCTATTCTAGAGTGTGTTTGGAAACTTGGAGGAGATGGACAAAATATGCTTTTTGTCATGAATTTGTTCTTCTTGTCTGCAATAGAAATGTTTCAAAATGTTGGTTAAGACTATCATTTAATAAAAGTACCATTAAAAGGATTGTTACATGTCAAAAGTTAGCCTGCAGGGGACAGGTTTTCTACAAAAGAATGTCATTGGAGCATGGGTAAACTTGGGGGAAGATCACTTTTAAATCCATTTTTTTTTTTTTAGTGTTAGGGTTTTTTTCCATAATTAATAGTTCAAAAAAATGTGGCAGATGATAATATTCTGGAGAAAAGATAAAGACCTTAAAAACTTCATAACCTTCTACTGAAAGATACAGATATTCAACTCTTGCTGGAAAGGGGATGACACTGGCTTTACATGGGAGTAGAAATCACAAAAACTTCACAAAAATAGCAGATCAGATAATTCAGAAGTATCATTTTCAAAACCCCTTCAACAGAATGTTTTTGGTGCTCATCCTAAGAGGATCTTAGGTTTAAATGCAATTTGGAGATAACTATAATGCATCTGAGTATTATTTTGAATCAGGAAATTCACTGCAGAAAAGAATAAATTAAGAAAGCCATAGGCCAGATTTTTATGATATTTTAAAGGTAGAGATAATGATCTAAAACAAACTAATGAAATTATAATTTATTTTCATCTGTGTCTATATAACTCCAGCTTTCAGAAACTGAGTTGTAGAGTTCCCAGATACAACAAAACTAGGCTGTCTATATTCTATCCAATTGGAAAGGGAGTGAATTTTAAAAAATCTGAAAAGGAAGACTGTTTTTATGATTTTTTTTCTAGCCACAGTTTGCAAATTTAAGGTATCTCAATATGACTGGTAAAAGAACAAACAAACAAGAATGGGGGGCCTCAAGCAAAGTATTGCAACCAAATAAGTTGATGTTCATGTCTTGCTATTACTTTAAAAAAAAGGTATATTACTCTCTTTACAGATCATAGTGGCTCCAAAGTAGTCATTGTGTGTTGCTGTGATACAACAAAAGAGAACCTTTACTGTAAAAACATACAAATAAAAAGGAAAAGGAATTTTTTTAAAAAACCGAAAGCTCTTACACATGCTTATTATAAAGATCAATGCAGTGTCAAGAAACAGCTTCATAAAATTTATATACAAGGATTAACATGCTGACTACATAATTATTACACAAGAAATATTCAATACCATGTAATTACCAGTTAGTGGTAAAACATGGGTTTGGTTTACATATACCCTATAGTCACATTGCCTAATAATAATAATAATAATGATGTAAATGAGAATCAAGTCTATAATTTTTTTGTATACTGAGTAAATATTTAAAGATTAAATTGTTACTACAACATTTATGTTATGATCGCAATATGCTCGTGGCAGGGGGTTTGGAACTAGATGATCTTCAGGTCCTTTCCAACCCTAACTATTCTATGATTGTTGTTTTCTTATATTTATAAAAGTATGAATAATAAAGCTTGGGGGCAATGTTTCTTTACTATTTAAGGCATTTTGCAAAGATGGAAGTATGTAGGTAGTAGCAATACTATATATACAGTGGAGTCTTACAGAGTCTAAAGAACTGAGGCTATAGTTAGAATATCCACAGAAGAACTCCATTTCTTTAGCGTATCAAAAAGATGACTAGAGGGGCAGCCTGATAGCAGTGCATAAGTACCTCTGTGGGGAGAATAAACTAGGTACTAAGTAGTTCCTTGATCTTGCTGAGAAAGTTGTGACAAGAACTAGATAAATTTGAAAGAAGAAATTAGGCAGAAACCTTTAACTACAAGGAAGATGAGCCACTGGCACACATTAGATAAAAAAGAGGAGGCTTTTTTTTTTACTGGTTGATGCGTTCAAATCACTTCTGAAAGTCGTATTTTAGTAAAAGACAAGTATTATCTCAATTGTAGGTAAGTGGGAGTACTTCAACTGCCTGAGATACAAAAGAGGTCAGAGAAAATGATCTCCAGTCTTAAATACTCCAAAGCTACAAGACAGGTTTGATTAGTATGAGGTTTCCTAGCACCTCCTTATGTTCAATTCTTCATCCTTCTATGTCAACATGTTCACTTATTTCTTTAATTTATTCTGCTAATTTAATTCCAGTCATTTTAAGAGCCTGATATGGCTGCAATTTATGATTTTTTTTCTCTCCTGTAACTGACTTAGCTATGTTATGTTCCCAACTTTTCAGCTGGTAAGAGATTGCTTCAAGATGTTTGTGATTTTTGGTTTGAATACATTTTATTCTGGAAAAACAGTTTCCTTTGTCACAGCCTAGGAAGAGATACTAATTTTGACAAGTTCTCCTCATTGCTCATAAATTATGTCTTTTCCCAACATGTCTTGCCTGCATATTCTTCATGTTCAGTCCTGTTTGCATGAACAACAGGAGGTTGTTTATTATCTCAGATGAATACACAATATCTGCAGAAACCACTCTGGTGAGGACAGGATAGGTTCCCACTTCTCCAAGGATATGGTCCATGCAGCATGGCCCATTATGCCAAGGTGACCATTTCGAGCTGCCTGAGGGAGTACCCATGCCTAGAGCTACAGTGCTCTCCACAGAGAAACCTCTTTGTTACAGAAGAAATCCAATATAATTAAATGACACCTACATTACCCTGAACCCCTTGAAAGA